TCTCTTAATTAATTGGCCTCTCAGAGGCGGTAAGACAACTCCCACCTGTTTATGCTCTCTGTATGTGTGTATATATATCTCCTCAATATATGTTCCATTCTATATGCATCCGAAGAAGTGGGCTGTAGTCCACGAAAGCTTATGCTCTAATAAATTTGTTAGTCTCTAAGGTGCCACAAGTCCTCCTGTTCTTCCTATGTAAAATGATACTCTTTTATGAGAGGAGGCGTCTATTATTGTATTAGATCTCTTATTGTTTTTATTTAGATTTTCAGTAGGCTTCACTGTACTCTAAAGGCTTACACAGTGTCTAAGCTCTCTCTTGCAGACAACGTCATCTGTTGCAACATGCCCATGAAAAATTGCATCTAATCCTGCCCCCCTTGCCCATTGACTTTAGAGGTCTACTTGAATGAGAACAACAAGGAGGATTTGGTCCATAGTTTGTAACCAAGGTGTTAGAAACGATCATTCCTTCACAGACAAATTATTTTAAAATAACTGAATATGTACTTATGGGTTATAAATGCAGGATTTGCAATAGAGCTTTACATGATATATTATTCCTTGTATTACACTATATTTAGTAAGTAATATAGGAAGAAAAGCTATAATGTACTGTATTTTTTTCTCTCTTGAAAACTGCATTGGACACAAAAACTGTTTTACATTCCCTGGATTAGGGAAGTTAAAAATATGAAATATTTTGTGCATAACCAATTTGGAGGTCAGTTGCTTAACTAACAGCTTAAACAATAATGGATATGAATATTTTGTAAGCATTGTGGAGACTTTGAAATGTGAAATAAAGGTAGAAATTATAATCTGTACTGCATGATTTTCCTTAAGCTACATTTTACGTGTGAAAGAACTAATTTATATGTAAAACCCTTGCTGTAGAAAGCAGACAAAGAGCTGGAAAAGTTATATAAATAATGTCAAGTTCAGCATTTGTTCTATGATAATAAGTTCTAATGGCTAGAAGCTGATACTAGAAAAATTCTA